GGGGGTAGGTGAAGGCCGATTTCATGAAGTTGCACAAGTTGATTGAGATGAACTTTGTTGGGTTTGAAAAGTTGGCCTTCGAGCTTTTTAGTACATTGGATCTGGGAGAACTTGTAATTAGAATCCCCTTTATTTGGCTTATGGGTAATCGGAAAAGGAAAGGCAAGGGTGACGAAATCACAGTGAATAAAGCTAGAATGTGGGCTAAGTCATGCTAGAACTTGATGGAGGTAGTGATGGTCTTTGTCACTGAACTGATGATTAACAGGGGTATATCTTTGTTGAGGGGTTTTAATGACTTGAGCTGGAATACTGAGAAAGTTTCTTTTTCTTTTGAAGCAATAGGGTAAGGACCTGGTTGAAGCGAATGATTATGGTATGGAAAATGGTTTCAAGCAAGCAGTTCAAGGTTTTCTATAATAACCTCCATGCATTGCACGAACTTTGGAGGCCTAATGTGGATGGTTTAGATTTTGATATGCTTGCCTAGGAGGATGTTCTACGGTCAGAGAGAGATTATTATTGTATTTCATTATTGAGGACGAGATCCTTGTTTGGGTCCAATGAATACAAAGAACCCAGTCTCGCCAACTTCTCTATATATATATATATATATTTGGCAAAAGCTAGGATGTCGGAAAAGGAGACCTCTTCAAGATGTTTGAGGAGTTCCATGAGATTGCTAGTTCTTTCCATAATGTGGAAGGTGAGGTTGATATCAAGTTTCTCTAGCTAATTAATTTTGTGGGTAATATATATGAACTTATAGCTAGGCCCTTGTTAGTAGATTGCACTGGATCTTTGAACTGTTAAAGCTCCCATCTACTGCCACCCATCCAGACATAGAGGGAAATGATAAAAAAACATAGTGCATCAGCATCTTTTCATTTAACTATGGACCTAGAATCAAAACAAGGAGATATTAGAATCAATTCTAAAAACTGGCTTCTTTATGGAATCGGACGAAGTCCACCTTTCTCGTGGACGAGAAATCAATAAGGCTAAGCCTATCTAACAACCTCCTGAACTCCGTAAAGCACACACGAGAGGAAGACTCCCCACAACTCTTATTGGCAAACAGGTCCAGATTAAAATATACCATTATCACCTGAGAAAAACTCATCTCCTACAAATATTTCCCCTCCTAATTTCTCTTGAGGCCCCTGTTTGCATTAAGATCCCCTCCTTGACACCAGAAATGGTTACGCAACCAAGATATATAAGATAATTCCCCCCAAATATAGAACTTATTTCAGTACTTAGTGGGGACTGTTTACATTTAATCTTCCAACAACCTTTACCTCTTATATTAAGAAGCACAGAAAGTGAATACACTTCCTTGATGGTGTCGACTCTGGTAACCACCCTAGTATCCCATATAATAAAAAATTTGCCCCAAGCCCCTGAGGAATTGAGGAACACCCGATCTTTGAATCTACTTTCACGGATACTGTGGATTAAGAGATTGCTAGTCTCTTCCTTGCTTCTTGTAGCATGGCAATGTCTGTGTTTACTTTAAGTATGACTTCTTTGATTTGCTTTCATTTAATTGCGTTACCCATATCATTAACATTCAAACTAACTACTTTCATGGAGTACCTGATAATTCCTGTTTCTTTCCATCTCTCCTTGACTATCCTGGAATGTTCTTAAGACTGGACATATGGTCGCGGAGAGAACTTTCATCTCTT